GTATAACAGCCGATTATCTCATCACTATCCTTCACTTTCATTACAAGTACTTTTTGACCTGTCCTATTCATAACGGCCTGGATATTATGAGTACTGAACCCGAAATTGGTTCCCCGTTCTAGCAATGCTAAAACGCTGGGAATGTATTCGGGCTGGCAATCTTGATCAAATTCCCTGATACTGTTCAGTAAACAATGACCTTGTCTTCTGGTAAGTATCAATGAACGTACATAACGCCTTGGAGATAGACAGTGTACATATGGATGATGCAAATCTTGATGGATTGTTTTAGACGGGGATTCATGATATTCTTTCAACGCATCAACTATGCCTTCAGGTAAGATTTTTTTATATTTCTCAATAATCCCGTTACATTCTGTCGTTGTCAGATCCACAAAATGGATGTGAGTAATGATGTCGTGGAGTAGATTCTTCATACAATCGATCTCCTCGTCTGACCAATCGTTAGGCTCTGTTGATATGTTAGGAATTTTTTTATGAGCCCATGTCATAACTGCTTTCCATAGATTAAGCTCATCAACGTCTATGTCGTCTTCTTGCAGAATGCCCAACATCGTATCGGCAGTTAATGCATCGATGTCATCTGACTTTATAAATACATTTCTACAAGCTAAGAGTTTACTTAAAGAATGTTGATATAATAACGTAAGATGAGGATTGGATGAGCTTGCCTGGAATACAGTGAAAAAAAATCGCTTCTCCCATAGTGGAGATTGGATAATTATCCTTCGCTGAATAGTGTCAACCAGTAGAGTGAGTCCGAGCTCATCGGCTGCTGTCATAAGATCGAATGCCACAGGCAGATCTAAGTTTGATTTAAATATTTCGGCAGTGTAAAGGTATCTGCAATGTGAGTGTCAAAAAAATCATGAGCACCAGAAAAAACAAGCAGTGACGAGTCAATTAATCGGCGTTTGTTAGCATACCTGAGAATCAACTCAAATATTTGAGAACTAATATTAGGCTTTCTAAATATTATCATCCCGTTCTCTTTTTTGACCCATGTGGCCGAGAGTGCAGTACGAAAATACTCGGAACGAGCTTTGAGTATGAACGAATGAGCGAGAAAGGCCTTGGTATCTGGGTCATTTCCGACAATTATATTAACATCACAACCTTCTTTTTCATTGTAGAATTTTTTAAGGTCTTTCAACACTTTCGGTATATCACTCGTATCTGACAGGTCGTATATTGTTTGAATGTCTTTGACTAGTTGAGACTTCCATTCTTCGTGATGTCCAAATATACCAGCGAGTGTGTAATTTTCAGCCATTGAGCGTGCTCTCGCGATGTAATCGCGTTCGTGAGCACACAAAGTTATTATAGGGCGTTGGATGTATCAATGTATATAGCAGTCAGGGAGATTCCGAAATTTGTAGATCAATTCTAGAATAATCGGCAACCATATTCGAAATCTGATTGGTGCTCGAGATTGTTAAGCTTTGTCGGTCATAAAATTTGAAACTAACGATAGAGACATACTCTTACAAGTATACCGTTCAATAATCCCGAGTAATCCCCACAACTTTACATAGTCACTTTCTATTAAATTGAGTTTAGATTTACGCCTCACCCTGCTATGAATGCAAAAGTAGCTCCCAAAAACTTGCCCTGTCTTTTCGAGTCTCTTACCAATGAATATGACGAAAGTCAGTTAACAAGATGTGAGACTAAAGAAGGTCAAAAATGGCGACGTGCAACAGCTAACGCTGCAGCAAAACGAATAACAGAAATGGCTAATACTAAGTATTTTCCGGAACTGTCTGCATTACTTGACTCGTTAGAGAATTACTCTTTGTGTGAAAGGCACTATACCCAAATTGTCGTTATATTAAACGAGCCATGAAACCAGGTGATTCGAATTTTGAAGAAAATGACAGAAAAAGACCGAGATTCTCTAGCAATAGTGAGTTGCCATCTTCCGAAAAAACTTTTTCTGAATTCGGAATCCAAGTATCCTTGCCAGATCCAGTGCTTCTGAAAAGGATACACGAACTAGAAGCTTTGAATCAGCAGTTATTGTCTGAGAATGTGGTTCTGAAGCAGCAATTGAATGAAACGTTTGCCGACCAACAAGTCCGTATTAGGACTGTAACGGAAATTGCTAAAAGGGAGCGAGGTAATTTGTATAATGAGGTAATAAGTTTGACTGAAAATCATGAGCGATTTGGTTTAGATAGTCTTTTAGAATATTCTCCTTCGAAATGGCTTGCGGAGCGAAATCCAGTCATCGTAAGGTTTATCGAAATTCTTAAACATAACGAAAACGAACATCAAAACGAAGGGGAGAAGCTTTTTAAGCGCGCCGTAGCAGTTGATGCTATATACGGATCACGACATCTGAAATATGTTTCTGCTATTAACTTGGCCGCTTCAGCAATCAAATATTCGTTGGCACGATCAAAAATGGTCATTGACATCGATAACCATATTATGAGCTCCGGTTGTTATAAAAAGTTTACTAACTGGCTAGAAAGTTTAGCTATAGAACAGCCAAAGCTTCCTGATGGTTTTTTATTTTTAGCTTTCGACAATGAACAGAAAGGACAAAAAAATTACTTAGATCGTGGATATAATACGGTCGTATTCCATACCGTTACGAGTTTTGCCGCTTTTAATTACGATCGGAGCGACGATGTTCAAAATACAGATCCTTGGCTATATTCTGAACTTCCTGAAAAGGAATATGAGGAATTATTTTCTTTAACTTCAGGTATGAGAAATGAAATTCATGCAGAACTCACTAATTATCTTATGACTATTTTAGATGAGCTTTGTATGGAGAAAATCAAGAAAGAAATGCGATCGATGAATCAATACGTCATCAAAGTCAGATCGGATCTGTTAAAAAATGCTTTGGTTGTCAATTGTCTAACATTGATAATAAGAAGCGAGTCTGTCCTACATGTCACAACAAATTACCAACAATTGCATATAGTTGAAAACTAACGGATTTACCCAAGCTGAACAGACATGCTCGCCAACTCGGAGAACAACGTCACGAAGAATTTACGGGGCTCAATATTTACGGGATGACGTCATTGACAATGTTCTTTTAATTAAATATTACAATATTAACACTATCTATTTGTTTCTACATCTTACTAACCTAAACATACATTTACCGCCTGCCGAAAACATTGTAAAAATTCATAAAGATACTTCAAAGTCGCGGTCCTCATTCTTCTGCAATACATCCTCAGCATACACAACTCCATCATATCTTCTCCCATCTTCGTACAATACGTCACACACTTTCCCAACAACGAGGGTACCAGGAGGAGAACATCCTACTCTTTCCATTACTTCGGCAATATTCCCAACAGTTCCCTTGATCACTCTCTGATCCTTACAGCTCGCTCTTTCTACCATAGCACACGGTGTATCTGGAGGATACTCCCCGATATCAATGAGATCCTGACTCAATTGACGCATTCGATGAATCGCCATTAAAAACACGGAAGTACGATTAGGATGAAACTTGGGAATGTCGGGAAGAGTGTTACGACGACCAGTTCCAGTGCAGACAAGGAATTGGGAGGAAATGCCACGGAATGTAGTCGGAATTTTAGCCAACAGCGGAGCAGCCATACAGGACGACACTCCCGGAATTACAATTGGATCATAGCCTTTAGACTGGAAAAATCTATATTCTTCTCCGCCCCTTCCAAAAAGATATGGATCTAAGATGATGTGACAAAAAGACCGTGTAATCAGACAGCTGTAAGCATACACGTGTTCTTTCATTTTGGAATATATTGGGCATGTGTAAAATAATACAGCTAATCTCCACACGCTTTGCTTTCAACACTTACCGCCTTGCTTAAGCCTAACAACGTTTTTCCCTTCCTCCAAAGCCTGCATAGCAAGCTTGTACAATTCCTCCTGTGCCGGTTCGGCGTTTCCGCAAGTTTTATTGGCAATCATTACATCGATGTGGGAAGGAATCAGTTCCAACACTTCAGCAGGTACCAATCTGTCAGATAGGATAATGTCCGCTTCTTTGATCGCTCGATATGCTGATCTGGTCAAAAGTTCAGGATCACCCGGTCCTGCTCCTACCAATTGTATTTTGCCTTGTTTCGGTGTGTGAGGTGGAGTTAAAGGTGGATCAGTGGATAAATTTGCGGGCGAGTTTGAAGGTGAACGGGATGGTATACGATTGGACGCGTGTTTTATAGGTGAATTTGTGGATTTAGATTTTATCTTGCTCTCATTATCTAAAATGTCAATTGGTAGCTGAAAGTAAGTCAACTCTTCGATCATCTCTTCTTTTGTTACTCCACAGCAACCAGTGCGCCAGAACATCTTTCCAGTGCGATAATATTCAATGATATAATGAAACGCACGAGAATTGCGGTCGATGAAATATTCATTCTTGTCTACTTGTTCGAACGTTGGAGTATCCCTAAACTGTATTCCCAAAAGTGTTGTAGGATGTGCTGTCAATGTTGATCTATATGTTTCAACCTGAATAGGAGTGAGGAAATGGTATTATTGTGAGAAAATTAATAACGAGAGGGGGAAAAAACGAAAGTTTGTAAAAAAAGATTCGAAACGGTGTGTTCGGACTGGCTGCTTACTAATGATACTTGATCGACTTGTAGCGTTAGCAAGAGACAAGCAGCGTTAATCAATATTTACCTTCGTGCCACCTACGTTCAATATTATTCTGTTCGATGATGTTTCCCGCATATTTTCTGTTGAGTGTGCTTTCTGACTTTGATATGGGCGGCTTGATCCCAGTATTTTAACATTTTATTCTCGTGGGCGCACATTTTTATTGTGTCGATCAAATAAAACTGATCTGCATGCAGATAATCAACAAACAGTAAACAACTGATAACGAATGTACATGCATTAACACAACGAATGACAAAAATGGTATTGAACGAAAACCTACCGTAGATAGAGCCGATACGAGCCGATAAGATAACGACGTGCAACAGCATGGTTATGCAGTACAACTCGTATCCTCACTCGAGTTGGTGTTCATCTTTGTGCATTCGACATAAATCCCTTATCAACATTACTAATACAACAATAAGGAACAGTTGGCGCCCATCAAAAAATTACAAGTCGTAGCAATTGTTGACACACTATTTCACAGGTTGAAAAAACGTTTAGTGTCTATACCGTATTCTGGAACTTGCCTTATCAGATCCTGATGTCATAGAACGCATTCATCTCTGTTACTAAGCACACCTTCCTTTGAATGCATTACTTATCAGTGCTGTGCCACGATAATTTATCCGTATATGGTTTTGACTATCAAACATATTTTGTTGACATGTGTTCGTTGTACGACTTAACTTTATTATTATTAAAAAGCCTAAGTTTATCATGCTTATTGCATACGATCCCCGCACATTTTTATCTTTTGTGTTGGTTAGGCTGCATTTGGCTTTAATACAACGTTTTGACTCTCGAATATTGTAATTATTAGGTTGACATTTATCGTTGTATAATTGTGTGTCTAAATAGGTTTCAACCGTTTAAATTTGTCGTATTCAAGCGATTCTAAGCGTAGACAAACTTTTACCAGATGCTTGGCGGCATTCAAAGATATTGACGTAAATAATGTATTTCAAACGGAAGTATACAGAAAAAGTTGCAATTGTATGGTGCTATCTGAAATCACACAAACTATGCGGATAGTATTTTATAAAAGAAAATGCAGTATTAATGGCTGGGTACATATGAAGCAAATTTCATCAAAATAACATATACAAGTTTTTCAGAAAGAGGTAAACTTTATAGTGCAAGTAGCGCAATGTAGGAAATGGTGAGGTTTACATCAACGCCAGCCTGATAATGTTTATTATTTGCAACAACGCGTCCTAATGTATAATATTATTGCGGGTTTTGCAAAAGTAAACTATTTACCTCACAAGCTAATATAACAACGCCCCCAATTTCCCGATTATAGTATGTTGAAATACTGATGTTTACTGCACTGACATTGGTAGCTGGGATGTGCATTTTTTTTATCGTAAAACGCCTTCGATGAGAGAACGTGCATGAGTTGAATAAAAGAAGAGAGAGATAGAATGAGCTTTTGATAGCGAAAAGTAGTAAAGGATATATTATACTGGCTATGAAAGAACGCATTTATATCATTGAAACATTAGCTCTCCAGACACTCAATTCAAGTTTCGCACTTTCTACCAATGTCAAAGGGTGCTATAATAGTAAATTTTCGTCTTAGTATCCAGTTCGATATATTCTTAATCATTATACTATAAACGTAATTAAAGAAATTTTTGGCTTTATTTACTGTTGTGGGTGCCTACAACTAAAATATTTTACTACCCTAGAACTTAGTGGATATTACTACATGTTAAATTTGAGATTCAATAAGTTTTAAAACTTTTCCGTGTCTAGTTTATACTACGGGAAGCATTGGTAATCAACCTTAAGATTTAACAATATTAATCTCTGCTCCATTAACCTATAATGACAAGTTATTAAACTAGCTTATATACTCAAAGCTTGAGTCCATTTTATATACACAGGTTTCTCGGTTGCTTTTATCGATGGGAAAAGTTTGAAATGCATTAGAGATAATTAATCAATAATAGACAATATCGATTTTTATAATTTGTAAGTCGCTATCAAGGCGTTAGCCAAGATGCAAATTAATTGCTTATTTAGTAATGTGCATCGGACCACCATTCTAAGATCGAAAGACTTGAGAATTTGATTAAGCCGAATTAATGATGTCCAGCGAAACTAATTTTGTTTACTGTATAACAAGAACGGCATAGAAATGCACAAGATTTTATATGTATAGTATACTGCTAGAAATTCACATAAGATTTCTCAATAGTTATTTTGTTACCATTACTTGCAATTATATAAAACCTAATAGAATGTGCGCAATTTCATCCAATATCTCAAGAAACTCTGTATAAATGTTGTTCGTTTTTTTTAAATAATAATAAACTTTAAGGTTTATTTTTAATTGGGTTAATATCTGGGTTATTATTATTAGACGAAAAGTTTCATGGTCTCTTTACGTTTCAAATTATTGCGTTCTAGAATATTACAACAATAAACAATACAGTAACGTGCAAAAGTATCCTACCGTTTCTAATTCGGGACATGAATAGGCAAATGCTTTGAAAACTTTCCTGTATATAATATATAGCAAATTCTGATAATGTGTAAAATTTCAGATCGATCAGATGCCTCCAGGAAATTTTACAAAAACTATCTGAACCGTTAAAAACTTATGAAACCATATAAAACCGTATGCCGCTTATTAGAAACATAAACTTTAAAAATCCATATCTCTACATGTTTCTAATCGATTTGCATAACTTTTTTTTGTTCTGTTTGATAGATTTTGCGTTCTCTATGTTTCTTGGAATATCAGTCAAAATTAGGGAAAAGCTGTTACTATATTTGGCGCGTATGATATATCAATTTGCATTTTGTCACATGATTATTTGCAATTTTTAATTTCCCCCAGCGTCACCATGAAAATTTCACGTTCACGTGATTATTTCTATATATACAGCATAATTTAAGTTTAAAAAAATTTAGCATAAATTAAATTTTGCTTCTATAATTTCACCCACTGCAGTCATGTGAACGTGAAATTTTCAGGGTAACGCTGGGGTAGTTCAATTTTTTGTTCAACAATCCTTTGAACGCATGCTGATGGTCTGGGAAACCAAGTACCAAAAAAAGTTACAGTATTCAGTTGGAAAGGAGTCGAGATGTAAATTTTGAATTTTTATGGCCAAAGTTGAGTATGGGTTAAATTTAAAATATTTGATGTTTGAAAATTTTCATCCGCCTCGATCTGAAATTTTACACATTATCGGGATTTGTTATACACTATATGCAGGGAAATTCTCAAATATTTGATTACAGTCCCCCTCTACAGTCACCTTCTATATAAGCACAATTGGTTTACAGTCACATCTTTGTACAGAACCAACCGATTTTATAGTAAATTTACCTCTATACAGTCCCAATTCGTTTATAGTCCCTATCACAGGACACAGCGGAACCGATAAATAGTAGATATGTGGAAAATTACCTCCTTACAGTCTCATCACGTGAAGAAAAATTACGTGATAAAAATAAAAATAATAAACGATTGGAGAACGCGCATTTTTTACACAAAATTAAAATGTCTATAGCCTCTCCAACCAAGAAACCCAAATCACTAACGTTTTACGGCATGAGATTTGCATTTACTCAAACGATAATAGCACGGCAACAAGTACTGACATTTCAATAATAAGTATAGTATTATATAGATCGGTCCACAGTAATGCAGTAAGCAAGATCTTGTCCACGAAAGATAGATTCATTGATCTTAATCTTGAAACTCAAAAGGTGAGTGTTGTCAGGCAGCGTAATGTTAAATTTTTATTCCTAGAAAAGGTTATGACTTGTTGGGTGGAGCAGACGATAGGGCATGGCATAATTTTTACTGAACTTCTTATTAAGGAAAAAGCTTTATATAAGCACAATGAATTGCATATATCCTGGGATTTCCTCCTCTACAATCACACCCTCCTTACAGTCACAGGTTTCAGGAAACCGACGGTGTGACTGTAGAGGGGGACGACTGTGTTCAAGCGGTAGTATACTTTACTGTATTAAAGGAATCCTTTCAGTTAAAATTTCACATAAGGTGCCCGCTATGCATAATCGATGCATTTTGATCTCTTTACTTCTTAATTCCTATCGTTTCACTATATAGTAAATGGTTACACTGCGTGGTACTACACCGGCGAGTATTCATATACAGTCATACCTCTTTTATATCCCGACTTTGGGACGAGGAGTTTTCGGGGATATAAAAGAGGTGGGATATAAATGAGGTATTCATTTAAAACTAAAACATGCGATTTTATTGGTTAATAAATTTCGGTTAATGAAGTTTGGCGTTTAGCCTTTTCTACAGATTCATCTAAACGTCGAATTATATTACGTATATACTTTA